CTGAAAATCAGAGCGTCCAATGTCTGTGACATTTTTGGAAAACAAAGGGCTGTATGTCTATGTCTTTATATGCTTTACAAGACAGGAGTATTTAGCTATACATTATTCAGGGCTCTTTCAGAATGAGCTGGAAATGATGAGCTCTTTATGTGCTTCCTCAACAGCTCCATATGAATCAAAAGGAGGAAAAATGCTCCTTATTGCTATCCTTGGCTCTGCAGGGATGACCTGTGTAACAATTCTCCTGGCCTTTCTCATCATGCTGCAGTTAAAGCGAGCCAACTTCCAGCGCCGAATGGCTCAGGCTTTCCAAAACGTGGTGGTAGGTTTCCAGCTGTCCTGTGTCAGTGTGGTTATTAATTTTGGCCCCATCTTTTCTGTTTTTTTCTAATTCCTTTTTCTTGGCCTTCCCAAATACTGTCTTCATGCGTGCAGTTAACACTGTTGTTGTAAAGCTTCTCTCCTAGTGACCTCAGAGCTAAAGCAATCATAGTTATAGGCTATGAGGGAGACAACCTGGCTTGAAAAAAAGATGCACACCTTTGATCCTTCTCCCTTTTCTGCCTTGTCACATCTGTGTATGACAAGTACTGAGCCAGACAGAATGGAGGAGGCCTGTGAAGTTGTGCCTGATTTTGAAAACTACATTTTTTAACATTGCTTTTGAGCATCAGCGACTGCTCCATCGTGGCTTTTCAACTTGGGGACAGCACACCAGGGCAGTATCATAGTTCTAACTGTGAGGAAACTGCTGAAGGTGGTAACATCACATCCATCTATCTATCCATCCATCCATATGTATTTGTATCCTGCTGTAGTCTCTTTATCACTGTGCTTTCCAGTGCTGTTCTCTCACTTCAGAGGGGAACCTCTTAAGCAAAATGAAGCTGGGCCAAAGAGCTCCTCCATATAGATCTGCATAGGTTGTTTCACAAACAGACGGCCAGGGGGCTCATCCAAAAAGATGATCAGTCCCCAGGTCACACAGAATAGCTCCTGCTCCTTGTCCTGAAACTTTTACAGAAGTATTTCATAGGAATGTGTAATTGAAGTAGAAATGTCTCCTCAAGTATGGAGGAAGATCATTTCCTCTCTCTTTTGTGTCCTTGCTGCTTCTTTCCTCAGTCTTCCTACTGAGCCTGATCAGCACAGGATTTAATCAAGCCTAATACAAGATAAATCTCAAACCTGAGGCTTAAAACTGGTTTTGAGATCAGTTTTACCAAATTATTTTTGTCCATCTCCTTCAAGACGATTATAACACTCTTCAGTAGGCTGAGGTCTACAAATGTACTTTTGTATAAATTACGAGCCCGATTAATTTTGTGGATCTGTGCAGAAGTGCTTGTTGCAGTTAGTGTATAAAGTATGTGTAACTGTCTACTGTACTCACTCTTGCGTTAGCAAGAGATGGATCAGGCTCTGTGTGTGTGTGTGTGTGTACACGAGTCAGCACACATGTATTCAGGGAGACAATCACAGCATTGGTCTGTAAAGTACAAATCACAGTTAATACGTCATTTGCTTAACTCTGTTACAGAGAGAAGAGCCAGCTGTACAGTTTAACTCAGGAACTCTCACCCTGAGCAGGAAAGCCAAAAACAGCCCAGATCCCACCATTTATCCAGTTCTTGAGTGGAATGACATAAAATTTCAAGATGTGATTGGGGAAGGTAACTTTGGGCAAGTCCTGAAAGCACGCATTAAGAAAGATGGCTTACGCATGGATGCTGCAATTAAAAGGATGAAAGGTAGTAAACATCAGAGACTCTGAGACTAAAGACTTTTCTTGGTTGGTTGTTCCAAGTGTTTCTCTGTCATAAGAAATGCTTAGTAGCCCTCTCCTAAACCTAAAATAAATATTCAAATTGCTGGTGAAATTGTATCAGCTGTCACTAAGCCAAGATTTGTGCCCTGGCAAAGACTGCATGGTTAAGTTGGTTTATATTTCTAACTATTAATATCATTAACTATTATGTATTTTTTAATTCATAGGTCAGTACAAACTTAATGTATGAGTTCACCTGCAAAGTGGGAGCCATTAAAAGATGCCTTTAATAGAGAGAGGAGCACAAGGCTAGCCTTGGGGCACAGCATTTGCTCATCTTGATTTACCTTAGCCATTCAGAGACAACTGTATCTATACATCTATATGTATACATACATACTATGAGGACCATTCATTTTCTTTGTACTCATTGGCCATGACTGCCACATTCCAGAGAGAACTACCATAGAATACTACAAGAATGTACATTTTCTTGCAATTCACTAGATCATTATCTAGCCAAACTGGGAGACACTCTTAAGTATGATGATCATTTAAAGAAGAACCAAGGTCTGCATGCAGACAGAAATAATCAACAGCACACATGGAAAGATTTTTAGGCAGTTAGTTTTCGTATGATCTGCTATGACATTTTACATTCTCAAATAATAAGAGAAATGACGTGGTATATTAAGATGCTTTCTTTCTCTGCATATAGCTGCTACAGACGTAGATTCTCTTTTTTTTTCCTTTGATGGAAAAATCCTACTTTTTTCAGTAAATACTAATGTGTCCTAGAGTTCTTCTCTTTCTATTGGGCCTGAAGCAGTAGTGCCCCAGCCAGCCCAGAGCCCTCATAATTAACAACAATATGGTCATAAATTCAGTTCAAAGGAAAACATAAATGCATGCTTATTTGATTTTCAGAATATGCCTCAAAAGATGATCACAGAGACTTTGCTGGAGAACTTGAAGTTCTTTGTAAACTTGGTCATCATCCCAACATCATAAATCTTTTGGGAGCATGTGAACATCGGGGTAAGATAACTCTTGATTGTATGTACTTTAAAAGCTAGTTGGAAAAAAACCAAAAAGCCCACACTACAGCCCAAACATTCCATAGAAACAGTAGTTTATAAGCAGGTCTTTCTGCAGCATTTGTTAAAAAGCCAAGTAAACTTGGTGTTAGATCTACAAGCCCACATTAGTCCTTCAGAAATTATGTTCATCAATAGCTCTAAATTCTCCTCTGCACCTAGGAAATAAGCTTGATATTTCCTCTCCAGTCTGTTTTATGTTTGTTTCTTTTTCACTCAAAGCAGTGTAAGTGTCCAAATACTATTAATGACTATCTTCTATTTTGTGATATGCTCACTATCTGATGTTTCATTAGGATATCTTTATCTTGCTATTGAATATGCCCCCCATGGAAATTTACTGGACTTCCTTCGGAAAAGCAGAGTGCTAGAGACAGACCCAGCATTCGCTATTGCCAACAGTACTGCATCTACACTTTCCTCTCAGCAACTTCTGCATTTTGCGGCAGACGTTGCTAGAGGGATGGACTACTTGAGCCAGAAACAGGTCAGTCTTCAACCCTCTACACACTGAAAGCACCCAAATTAATTTTCCAGGGACTATGCCTTTTAATGAAATCAAAATGAGGTTTTAGTTTTAGCTTCTGTAGTCTTATTTTGTTGTATTCACTTAGCCTTACCAAACGCTATAGTCATGGTGAATTAAGGAAGAGGCATTAAAACTTACAGACAACGTGGTAATTAACTGCTTTCATCTTCAGATAAAGTTTAAAATGCTCTTGTTAATGACACACCTAGCCATTTGTTTTGGGTTTTGTTCTTATTCTGACTATTTGCAATTTTCAATACATCACCAAAATAATACATGTAAAGTTCATAGATACTGAAGTGATTTCATTATTTTTATTTTTTTAAATTTTAGTTTATTCATCGAGATTTGGCAGCAAGAAACATCTTGGTTGGAGAAAATTATGTTGCAAAAATAGCTGACTTTGGCTTATCAAGAGGCCAAGAAGTTTATGTTAAGAAGACCATGGTAAGGATCAAAGCAAACTGATAGAGTTTGTTTTCCTAATTTTTTCTTTTCTTGTTTCTTACTCTGTGTTGTCATACAAACAAAAATGCAAACTCATGGGTACTACAGAACTGATTAGTTAAATGTTATATATTAACATTATAAATATTTATGTTGTGTTTAATAGACATGCATTACTTCTAAATCAATTCTATAGCCTGTTTATAATATAATATACAATGTAATTGAAAATTATTTATATGAATATGTATGGCAGTAAAATAACCAATTTTGCAGCCAGTCATGAGATTTAGTAAAAATGTATTATAAAACCCCATATAATACACATTTGACATATGAAGAGGTTATATGCATGTGGGTGGATCTGTACAGCTATGAAAATAATAATTTCATATGAGAATTTGTCCAGCTGAGGCAAGCTGGTCTAATTCTATTGAACGAGGCCAAAGCTAGCAAGACGGTATCCAAGGCATGACAGGATCTGTGAGCTGAAAAAGCAGCTGTTCAAAGCTAATGTTTTGGAAGATCTGAAAGACACGTAAAAAGCATCATGTAGTCATAGACCAGGAATAACACCAGCTGGTCAAGGTGACAGGGTTGGTTAAAGGCATTGTAAGACATCACTCAGGAATTACTTCCATTTCCTCTTGATGCTGGTTGGATAAATTTTCTATTGGCTTTAGTGTGAACTGTCCCTTTGAGAAGTAAAGGCACAACTTAAAGAAATAAGCTTATTTACTGGACCAAGCTGACTTGCCTGAAGTCAGTTTTCTTTAAGGTAACATGCAGAACAATTGTTGGGGTATAAATTGCAGTATTGCTATCCCAACCACCAACAGATAAACTTTCATGAAATAATTTCCAGGGACGGCTTCCAGTGCGATGGATGGCAATTGAATCTTTGAATTACAGTGTTTACACTACAAACAGTGATGTGTAAGTATGTTTTTAAGTGGTCTTTTTTTAATAAAAAAATATTTTTCAATATCAAGGAAAGTTTGACAGCCAAGATGAGACATCCTCTCAAGAAAACTGAGTAACTGTGTCAGCATAAGTGAGCAACAGAAGCAAAAATAACACCCACAACAAAAAAGTTATTTTATGGCATCATCAGTGTGTGAACAAGTTCTGTGTTCACAAGTGGATTTGGGTCACTACTTTAACTATATTTCTCATTTGAAAGCAGAAACCTGATGAATCCTTGGGAGACCCAGAGGAACTCAGTATTTTAGTCAGGAAACTGGAAGTGATATTTGGCAAAGCAATTCTGTAATAGCACTGTTTGCTGAGAACTCACAGTCTAGTAAAGGACGACTCTGGTCGACTGGTCGATCAGCTCACAGTGAACTAATTTTGCTAAAGATCTCACTCTTGCTTTCTGATTCTACGAACCCTATCATTATACAAAAATTAATAAAAAAAAAATAAAAGAATGAATCACACTTCTCTGTGTTCTCTGAATACTAGCAAAACTATCTACCATTTTATAATATGAAATCTTTGCATTCTTGTTGCACTCCATAATATCCCTCTGTTGCAGATGGTCATACGGTGTCCTATTATGGGAAATTGTTAGTTTAGGTAAGTATCTGAATTTTATACTGCACAAATAAACCAAGCTGAGCCAAGACAGCTCTGTTCACTCAGTCTATTAAAAATTTATTCCTTTGCAACATAGTTTACTTCTTTTCTGTTTCATTCTACTGAATTTTAGCATCAGTATACTTGGAAATGCAATTGTCACATTTTCAATTCAGGTACCATTCTAAATGAGAAAAACATAATGCCCATGTGTTCATTGCACTATAAAACCTAGGCCATATCTAAATATAAAATCCAGCATATCACATGATTTATAGCCCTAATCCGTTATGTTTTGAGTTTGATGGGTGGCTTTTCCCCAGCCTTCTAGAATTTTAAATCAAGACATACTTTAATGACTTGGAGGGTGTGGAGTGACAAACATCTCCTACTCGAAGTATTCTCAAAGAAAATTTTGAACATTAATCTTCAAATAAAATTTAGAGTTAACACACCTCTATTCATCATGTATGTAATACACCCTCAAACCATTCAAAATGACTGTGTTACACAGACTTTATGATTTACCTTGGAGTGTGCCCCATGGTCTGCTGGCCAAGAGATGCATACTGACTGAGGTACATGTTGGGTACTGGACTAATCATGAACTCTTGCTAATTCGTTCCCATTTTTCCTTAATAAATGGGTTTGCGCTAGATATGGATGGGAACTAACACACTGCAGTGTAGAAAAAAAAAGTCTAAGCAACCAAACATCTGCAAAAAGGGGCAAAACCAGCTGCCAGAATTAGCTCCATGAATCCATATCGGAGCTTATTAATACCATGCTAATGAAGGAATGACTTCCCTACTGCCATTGAGGGTATTGCAAAACCAGTTCAAAGACAATCAGATGTAGGCCCTCAGAGTTGTACAGAAATTTAGACCAGCCCCACAGATGATAGAAGTTTATACTCACTTTTATTTTTCTCTTCAATACTGTGCATTAAGCAGTATGGAATCATCAACAACAAAAATGTAGCTTGCAAAATATTCCCTAATGCTGGATTAATGCACCTGTTACTGAGTCAATCATTCTTTTTCATTTCTGCTATGAAATTAAACTTTCTTTTATTCAAACCCCCTTATGTTCATGACAACGGTTAAACTCTGCTTTAGGTGGAACACCTTATTGTGGAATGACATGTGCAGAACTCTACGAAAAACTGCCTCAAGGGTACAGACTGGAAAAGCCTCTCAACTGTGATGATGAAGTGTAAGTAACTGCCTCAGCAAAAAAAAAAATGAAACAGAGTAACATGTGCTATAGGAAATATAAGATGTCTACAAGAAACTAATAAAACAAACATAATTTTTTCCAGGAAAGCATAAAAATTACATTAAAAAAATTTAAAAGGCTATACAAGTGGAAATAATTACTTAAGTCCTTTTGTACCCAGCATGCACTGTTATTTGCCATGAACCCTTTCCCACGTGCTCTGCCCCTGCCAGATACCCTGCTCTTTATACAACATGTCTGGGCTTTAGCTCGAAGTAAGTTTTTTTATTATTCCAGAGAAAAAGAAAACTCTTTTCAGACAGCAACCAGCTGTGGAAAATGTAACTCCAGCTATGTATAAATCCATTTTCCTTTGAAAAATTAAATATGCACAATTTTTTAATAAACATGAATTTGTAGCTTTAACCTATGTATCTAAACTGTCGAATGTTGGTGTTTGATTTTTAAAGGTATGACCTAATGAGACAGTGCTGGAGAGAGAAACCATATGAAAGACCATCATTTGCTCAGATACTCGTGTCACTGAACAGGATGTTAGAAGAAAGGAAGGTAAGAATGAATCCCTAGAAAACAATTAGGCCATGAATAATTTCAGTGTAGTTTAGAATTCTTGAGGCAATGCACCTTGCATCACAC